CTCCAACCTTCCCCTCGTCGTGTCCTTCGGTACTCCGTACGACTATATATTATATATTATATATATAAAATAAAGTACTTATTTAATATTTTTTGTGATCCCAATTAAAATGCCTTTTGAATAAACCTTTATTTTAATTTTAATTTTAATTTTATTTAATGTATTTTTATTTATTTTTGAATGGCTTAGCCAGATAATTCAAGAATGATCTGAATTGCCAATCCAACCGTTCCGAACATGGCTTGAGGGCGGATAATCTGCCCCACCGATCTATTTTTGTAAACATTGTATCCAGTTGTGGATGCTGGGTGCGAGCAACTCGCGTTTGCGGTGGGAGAAACCATTCTAGAGAGAGATTGTCAGAGCGTGATTATTTTAAAGAGAGATTTTATAGAGATTGTGAGAAGGCATCTTCAATTGACAGTGATGGAAAGTATTCAAGAGATAGAGATTGTCAAGAGAGAGAGAGAGAGAGAGCGATTACTTTTTAGAGAGATCTTAGAGAGATTATGAGAGGGGATGCTTCCGCCTGTCGAACCGAGTCCGACCACCCGTCACGGCCGGTCCTCGCTCTTCCTCGCTCTTCTTGACTCGAGTCAGTCTCATGGACCTAGTGGGCTTCCCCTGGTTTATAATAAAATAGACTTAGATGATTAATAATTTTTCATGTATTATAAATAATGGAATATAGTAGAAAAATTTCATCTTATATTTGAAATTTAGAAATACTCCTATATTTTTCAATTTGCTCCCAAGTCCCATTTTTATAGAGTTTATAATGTATGTTAAGTTTATATGGTTTATAATGTATAGAGTCTCTCAAAGCCACCGCCCCTTTTCTAGCCTCATCAACGGCAACCACCGGAGTGCAAAGATGGCAGTGATGTTTTAGTAGATTACGGTGCTTCTATTTAGGATCTAAGTTCTCTTCTAAGATCTGAGTTTTTCTCAAATCTCTCCTTTTTTTTCTTGTTCGTCCCTTTTTGTTACTCCGTTCTTTTTCCTTTTTTCACACTCCTTGATTCGTTTGTTTTTTATTCTATTTTTTTTTTTTAATATCTTTTTCCTCTAAGTTTTTCTTTGTCTCTGTTTTTTCTGGCCTAGGTTTTTTTCCCTCTCCTTTTTTCTTCCCTTTTCCCTTTTCTTCCTCTTCCCTACCCCTTTCTTTTCTCTGTATCTTTTAGTTTCGGTTTTCAGGGAGCGAAAGAGTTAGAGAGCTCTTTAGTGATGGGGTGGGGGTCCTTCTCCCCCGCCCCTACCCCGTTCCTAGTTTCCACTTTCATCATTTTCTCTCCACCCCTTCCATTCCCATCCTCTCTCTTGTGCCATCTCTTTCATCCCTCGTGTTCATCCTGGCCTCTGCCCTTTTCTCGACCCCTTTCTTTGTCTCCTTATCTCATCCTTCCCAATTAGGTTAACCTTTGAGATGGGGTGTGCCCTTGGTTCTGGCACCCTGTTGTGGGTTTTCATGGGTCCTCAAGGTTTCTTCTGAGGATTGGAAGATCCTTGTATAGGTTAAACCCTGAGATGGGGCCTTTCATTGGGAACCCTGTCGCAGAGGTTGGGGCTCCTTTGAGACTCTAATTTTCTGGATTGTGGCCAAGTGCAATATTTTAAGAAGATGATTGCGTTTTTCTCACCTCTTGTGTGTTCTTCCTGGTCCTCTCATGTACTTACGCTTGCCTTTTTTTTTCTTTGGCCTCCTTCCCTGCTCTTTTCCCACTTGCCCTTTTGATAGGTAGTGGTTGCCGCACTAGCACCCGAGCTGCAGACTGGTGTAGGTTGTTGGTTGCCCCAACCTCGACTATTCGGAGATTATTGATAGGGAGGTGCTCTCTTGGGGCTACTTGTTGGAACTTGGAGCTCATAACTTGATGTGTTCTAAGAGTCACGTTTGGTCAGTCTTGGATTTAGGCAGTGCTCCTCCCTATTTCTTCGTTTTGTATTTTGTAGCTTTGCTCCACTATCTAATGAATATTAGTCTTACCGTTTCAAAAAAACTAAAAAAATAATGTATATTAAGTTTATTCTTTTGTGCATCGGGTTAAACTGAAATTTTTGGCAGTCATACCTCTAATCAATTTAGTAATAAAAGTTATGAAGGATTTAGGTGTAGTTTGGTAGTTTTATTTCATTTATATTAATTCTTCTTTTTTTTTCTACCGTTGTTTGATGTTGACAAATGAGCTTAATCCGATGTACAGATTAAAACCAGAATTTAAATACACTGCATGCTTTTAAAAAGTTAGATTTAAATGTAAAATATAAAATATAGAGAATTATTTTTTGAGTTCATAAAATAAAAAATACTTTCTTTTTATAACATTCTCAATTTAGGTTACCTATCTTCAGGGTCCTCGTTTCCCCAAGTGGAGCATATTGTAAGGTTTCGGATATGCCCAGGTATCTGGACCGACCCCGAACCAACACATTTTCCCTGGTTAAGTTGTAAGGAATGTTGCCAATAGTGTTGAGGTCGCAGTGATAGCACTACCCGAGCTTCAACTATTGGTATTTTCATTCCTACTAACACGTTGAAGAACCATTGATTATTTTTAAAATGGGTAGGGACCTACTGATCTACCCGAAAAAAAAAAAAAAAAAAGTTGCATGGAATGTTGTAGATTTTCTTTTTTGTGAAATTCTTTGCCTTATTAGAGTGTAGATATTGATCTTAGATGTTGACGGTTTTAAGTAAAGTATATAATGAGTAATGATCTTAAATGGTCTCAGTGGGGTAAACGGTCTACTCATTGTCTACCATCCCAATCTGAAAAATTGTCTTCAATGTTTGCACTAAATCGCCGTCGGCTTTTTTTTATTTGCATTAATGGCCGGCAATTTTATGAAATTAACTAATAAAACCGACGGGATTTTGAATTTGCAGGAGAGCTCGAGCTACAAAAGCTTAATCAGGCAGCATCTGGACCTTTCAACTGTGAAATCAAGGGTCTACGATGGCTCGTATTCAAATAGCCTCGAGTTTTTCAGGGACCTGCTGCTCCTCTTCAACAACGCCCTCGTTTTTTTCCCAAGAAACTCGCCCGAATATATCGCAGCACAGGAGCTCCGCCACCTGGTCTCCCGAGAAATTGCCATCACCGCTCATCCAAGGCAACCATTAATCGCAGCCGTCCAGTCAGAGCCTACATCTGCCGTCCAATCACGCACCGAGAAGGCCCAGTCCAATTCGGACCGTCCGATCGCCCCGAAGACAAACCCTTCCAGGAAACGAAGCTCCATCTCCAGAGAAGAAGAGAGAGAGACAACGAAAACAGAAGAGGGAGAAAGTAGAAAACCAGAAGAGAGAGAAAGTAACAAACATGAGAAAAAGACGGCCGCAGCCGCAGATGCAAAGAAGAAGCAGGCGGCCATGGCGAGAGAGCGGCCACCTGCAAAGGCCACGAGAACAACCAAAACTCGAAACCCTAACCCTAACCCTAACCAGAGCACACGAAACCCCAGCCCTGACCCTAATCCAGTGGGGATTAGGGTTAATGGTGAGAAAAACGTGGTTTCAAAGAAGAGAACGGCCGCCACCTTTCTAAACAGGATTAAGAGAGGCGGCCATGGCGATGGTGGATTACTGGAGAGATTAAAGGGATCATCATCCAATAATAACACCAGTAATGGTGGTAATAACAATAACAGTAACAAGGAGCAGAGAAAAGGAGGCCGGAATACTCCGGTTTCGACAGGGAAAGTCACCGGTAAGGTGTCCGGAAAAGGTACAGAGCCGAATATTCCGGCGAAGAGAGGGGTGGGCAGGCCGCCTAAGAAAGGGAACCCCAGGACGAGGGCCCGCGAGGCGGAGGCTGCGGCCGGAAGGGCGCCACGCAAGCGGGCGAGGAGGTGATCCGTCGGTTGTAAATTACCTGTATTTTAACGTTATGGGGTGTTTTTTTTTTTCGGGACTTTTCTCCCTTTTTTTTTTTTTTGTGAATCTTAATTTAATTTTGTTGTTTTCGTCAAGTGGTGCGCCTGAGGGCGTACCCATTCTAGTGAGTCCATGTTGTAAAATCCATTTCAAATATGGGTTTTGGATTTAAATTAGAAAAAAAGTCTGTGAGGTGACCACTTGGTATTGTAGAATTTAGGTGATAGACACCCCCATTGAAGTTAGATTTATTCCTGACTCATCGACCCTTATTTATTCTAGCTCTGGGAATATTCTTTAAATATTTACTAGATATTCCTCAAACACTCCAAAGGAAAATTTACCTTTTGGTAAATTTATCCAAACACACTCACTTTGGGATTTGGATATAATAAGGGGAAATGCAACCGTTGTATAGTACTATAGTGCGACCACATCTCTAGAAAACCATATTTTTGACATTTGTATGATCTTAAATTTTGTACACACATTCTCTTCATCCTTATAATCAATCTTATGAAAAAACATTTTAATTTGTATTTTAGATACGGTCAAAATTAGTACCCATCCAACAATGAATCTTGACAATCCATTTGGTGAATTTCAAGATCTAAGCTTTAATAAATTCAAAATCACTTTTTCCTTTTTTAGCATTATTAATCTAATGCGCTATATAAAAAATTTGGAAATAAAAAAATCATTTAGAAGCCTGTATCTAACCATCTCAATAAAATGGACGGTTTATATTAGTTGGGCTAGAATAAAAACTTTCTAAAGCATTTTTTCAAAATTTTGTTTTTTGTGATTGTTCTTCAAAATGAAAAGAGTGTGCATTTAAAAATTTGTGTCGAACAAATGTCTTTAACATGGTTTTTTGAGATAGTTACATTATACTACCGTGCAACCGCTGCATGAAATCATTCCCCCTCATTATATACTTTCCCTTTAACTATTTGGCATTTTATACTTTTTCTACTATTCTACTATACAAGCCATCAGCAATGTAGTATGCATCACCGGCCCATTGGCGCACATTGCATCATTGCTAGATCAACGGCTCGAATTGAATTGGATAGCTGGTGCATCCAATTACTGACCTTTTGGATCTATAAATAGGTCCTTTGGGCCACCCTTTAGCTTCTTTTAAGAGACTTAAAACCCTAATCACGCAACGTTGAAAACCTAAACCCTAGATTTAGACCTTCTAACCATAAATTCAGGATCTCATTCCTAGCAAGCCTCAATCCCTAATCTCTACAATTCTACGTTTGAGAGTTGCATAGGCATACATCTTCGTCTAATCTAGGCCTAACTCCAGGAGTCGGGCCTAAATGCTTTGAATCCCAAATGTATTTTTTTAAAAGATTTTCAAAATCATTGTCCTGTTTCCCATGATTTCTAAAATGTTTCTTTTCTGTCCTTATGTAGGTCTAAAATGATTTGTGAAGGAATTCCCTCGGAATTGATTCTTCATAAATTGTATTTTGATGGAACCCACAACTTTACTGATTTCTTGGACACAAATCAAAATGGGATATACCTCGAGTTGATTTTCACCTTAGATTATGAATATGAACAAAGTTGCACTTCAAAATTCTGCATGCAAAGGTTGTTTTGACATCGAAAAATCCAAAGAATGGTCATCTCAATCTCGAGATGCGTAAATATGAAAAAAAAACAAAAGGCTTTCAAGTTCTAAAAGTAGTTGATCTTGTAATATGTTATCACCATCTAGTTTCAAAAGTTTTAAGTGTTTTTTAGATCTGCTCGATCCACACCATTTTCAGAATTTTGAATTTAATATGCGTTACTAATACAAACCACACTATATTAATTAAGGTTCCACCGTATGCTCATATGTCAATTAATAATGAATTGTGAGAAGGTTCCACCGTATGCTCATATGTCAATTAATAATGAATTGTGAGGGTTAAAAATATGGTTTGTCTTGTACTAATTTTTTGACCTCGCATTTCAATTCTTGAAAGGTCACTATATCTACACTATTTCCCGTAACCAATTTTATATAGAATTTAGGCGAAATGGATTTGTATTGATTTAAGTGATTAGTCCTTAAAACCCTTCGAAAACGAAGTAGACACCATGAGTCGGAGGATTCACCAACGACAAGTTTCCTTCTTTAAATAAAGTACTGAAAACTACATGCCCTAATTACTCATTCATGGATTAGAATAGGAAAAGTGTAAACATTCATGTCAAAGATGGATGTTTGGTAATGGTGGTCCCAACATGACTTAAAATGGAAGGTATTCGAAGTATATCGGTAAATGTCTTTTTTTAAAAAAAAAAAATTATTCATGTTCAGCATGATTAGACTCTAGACCTTTAAATTTTATGATCAGGACTCTAGGGTTGGCAATTGGCAAGTGGCCCGGCGAGGCCCGTAGGGCATGGGCCATAAACTGTGACATAAGGGAGCTGTTAGGGCTAGTTTTGGCTGGGCCCATCCTCTTTTTTGTTTTCTTTTGTTTTTCATTTATTTTTGGCTAGGCCCAGCCCTAACAGGGCCCGGGCTGGCTTACCCAGCCCATTGCCACCCTTAGAGGACTCATTAATAGATGATTTTGGGGCTCGTAAAAACTTAGGCCATTAAAATTGTTGGCTGTGCACATTTTCAAATTTCTCTCGCCGTCAAAATCATCATAGTCGTGATTTCTTGAAAAAGGAGCATATATGATATTAGAAAAGTTTATGTAGCCAAGGCTCTAAATCATCACATTAGAGCCCCCCTCAAAAATTTCACACGAAGAGGGTTTTTTGGATGCCTAAATATCATCAAATTGGTCATCTCGACATCAAGATGTAAAGATATGAGAAAACAATGGATCTGAAGTTTTGGAAATAGTGTATCTTGTAATGTATTTTTGGGCAGTCAATTTTCAAGGTTTTCATAAATATGCTTGATTTACATTATTTTTTAAACTTAAAATTTTATATTTAAAGATAAAAATATATTTTAAGTCTATCTTAAAGATTTCCAATATCGAAACCACATTTCTCGATACTATTTGAAAGTGCGCTTTAATTTGATTGTTTGGAGCCTCCGGTCACCCATAAGATAATGGTATTTTATAAGTGAAATGACTTCTTGATCCTGGGGTAGTATATTGTCTACTTGCTCGCTCAGGTTAAAGCCAAGCTAGGGATATTTTTGGGACCCCAAAATTTGCAGGTGTGGGCTCTTGACCTTGTATCCAACCTCCAAAAAAAACAAAAAACGAAAAATTTGCATGTGCAAGCTCTTGAACCTAGTATCCAACCTTCAAAAAGAAAAATAAAAAAGAATTCTCACTCTCAAACTTGTGTAAAATATTTTCTTCTCCAATTTTTGGAGGGCAAGATCTAAGTTCTCGAGAACTTAATTTGATTTTCTTTTCAAAAATAATCATCCATTGTGCAAAGCATATGCATTTCTCCCTAACTTGTGAAAAAGATTTTTCTTGTCCAATTTTTGGAGCGCAAGATCTAAGTTCTCAAGAATTTAATCTCATTTTCTTTTCGAAAATAATCATCCATTGTGCAAAGTATATGCATTTCTCCCAAATTTGTGTAAAATATTTTCTTATCCAATTTTTGGAGTGCAAGATCTAACTTTTCGAGAACTTGATCTCATTTTCTTTTCGAAAATAACCATCCATTGTGCAAAGAATATGCATTACCTTGTCTCACTCTCAAACCTGTGTAAAATCAAATAACAATGAAAAGTAATATATTATTTTTATCTAAGTTTAATAGTTTTAATTTGTTTTATTGGATTAACTATTAAGAAGACTATTATTTTGTACATGGAAGTTACTTTTGAAAGTGTTAATTGGGAGTGTCAATAGTAGGAATGGATACCACGATGTGATAACCAAGTGTGAGGATGCTACCACCGCAACCCCAAACCATTTAATTTGACATCTAATGAATGAGAATGACTGTGACCTCTATGTACAAAAGATAAATGGTCTTTTTATAAATAATCCATTTATTTCATTTTATTGGGAGTACCCTATAAAGCCATGCATTACCTTTTCTTACTCTAAGCACCATGCGGTATTTATGAACAGAAATATCTCGCTAAGTGAATTATTTTGTGAGATATTGCTTTTACAACATTCATATTTCTGACTATATTAAATATGTTAAGGGTGCGGTTTGTGTAGAGCTTAGGCTCTAAACAATCAAATTAGAGCCTACCTTTAAATAACAATTAAATATTTTTGACAGCCTTAAAATATATTTTTATTTTTATTTATAAAGTTTAGAGTTTAAAAAACAGTATAGATCGACATATCTATAAAAACTTGAAAATCTTGAAAATTGACGGTCAAAAAATGCCTAACCAAATACATTATTTCGAAAACTTGAAATCCATTTTCTTTTTCATGATCATGCATCTTGGTGTTGAGATGATCAATTTGAGGATATTTGGATATCTACATAATATTTTCTTCAGGTGAAAGTTAAAGTTTTGAGGTATGCTCAAATTTGGTTGTTTAGATCTCCGTATGAACTTTTCCCAATTAAATACTTTGCCATCTATATCTCATAAGTGATATAAGTTGTCACAAGGTACTTGTGTTTCGAAGTACCAACATTGTAGTTGGAAGTGATTGATTTGCTCCTTTCCGTATATATTTGTGAAAGAATTGTATGCTCCTTCAAGTGGAGAATGTACCTATGCTCCCTTGGGTAAAACCCTATCTATGGAGTTTTTAGCTTATGAGATGTCACCAACTCAACGTGTTGACCAACTAAAGAAAAAGGTAAAAGTGAAATTTATTAGTTTACTCACGAGAGATGAACAATTTAACACTTTAACCATATCTTTTGATTTGATTTTGAAATACTCATATAAGGATTTTTCTTAATTGTACCTATTAAACGGAAAAGGAGGTATTATGTCTTTTTTTGGTACCAACTCAACGTGTTGACCAACTAAAGAAAAAGGTAAAAGTGAAATTGATTAGTTTACTCACGAGAGATGAACAATTTAACACTTTAACATATCTTTTGATTTGAAATTTATTAGTTTACTCACGAAAGATGAACAATTTAACACTTTAACCGTATCTTTTGATTTGATTTTGAAATACTCGTATAAGGATTTTTCTTAATTGTACCTATTAAACGGAAAAGGACGTATTATGTCTTTTTTTGGTATGTGTGAGCTTAATACCATCTGTCTATCTCTCCAACACCTTACCCTCTCTCTCTCTCTCTCTCTCGCCCCTTTACGATTGAACTTAAATGCTTTAGTATTTGTCATCTCTCTC